ACCATTTCGAGTTACATCCATCTTCTGGAATGGATTGTGGTCGTAAGTGGAGGGACCACTGTAGCTAAAGAGTGCTTAAACTCTCTTTGTCCATGTTAGAAAAGTGTTGTTGCATTAATAGGAATTGTTTCACAGCTTTTAAATGCAACACATGTGTATGTATTATAGATAGTATGACTGCCTACCAGACCAGTAGAATTTGTTTCAGTGGTTGGTCTTCTTCAAGTTGCATCTTTTTCAGATGACTGCTTTGGTAAGGGATTGTTAGAAATTACTTCTGAATTTCATCTCAGATAGTGTTATTTTGTAACACACTAGTTGTACAAGTTGTTTTTGTAAGGGATTCAGACTGGAGCCCTCCCATCTCAATGGGTTTAGATGGTAACCCAATTCTATCTTTGAATTGATAATGCAGTTACTGTGTGCATTTTGGAGTTCATATCTGTGCCGCACTATTTCCCTTTAAGCAGGATCCGCAGGTATAACATGCTATGTGTGTATTCAACTGGACATTAATTGAATGACTCAATAAAAACATACTCTTGCTCCATTTGCTGGTTCCTGCAGTTCATCACATTTGGAACAGAAGATAGCAGAAGATGGCCCATATTGATATAAGTATCTCCTTCTCCTGAATGATACTTTGTGGCGAACAGCCCACATGTCACTCCTGTCAGTCATTTTAGAGCTCTAATGCAGGAGCCTATGACAGGACAGGAGGGGCAGAGTCAAGGCAACTGGCAGTGCCAGAGAGGCAGTTAGAGTGGGACAGAGACAGGGTTATAAGAAAGATGGTGAAGCATTCAGACAGTTAAAGAGAAGACTGAGAACTGGTTAGACAAGATATTAGACAGTTGATGTGTTAGAGATTATTAAAGAGTTAAAAGGAAGTACATAGACAGGCAGCATACAGTATATTGAGACCATGATTAAAGTAAATGAATACAAGCAATCTTCCAAGTACAGTCATGCCCGGCTTTACGATTGCCCCGCATTACAACAACATTTTAGCGATCACAAAACGATGGTCTGAATAGGCTTTTTTTGCTTTGTGATGATCGGTTCCCTGCTTCGGGAACCAATTCTTTGCAAAACAAGGATTTTCCTACAGCTGATCGGTGGTTTCAAAATGGCCGCCGGGGACATAAAATAGCTCCCCACTGTTTCTGGGATGGATTCCTTGCAAGACAGCCACCAAAAATGGCTGCCCTATGGAGGATCTTCGCTGGACGGTGAGTTTTTAGCCCATTGGAACACCTTAAATGGGTTTTAATGGGTTTTTATTTTCGCATTACGACGTTTTCATTCTACAGCGATTTCGCTGGAACGAATTAACGTCGTAATGCGAGGCATCACTGTAATCAAATATACATTTATTGAATAACTGATAAAAGAACATCTATGATTTTCCTTCTGTGATTTACTTAATACTCCATGAATAAATTTCATTATATTTGGCAGCAAGAGTGTGAGACTCATAATTTAATACAGTGAGGACAATATCCTCTGGTGGCAGCGAATAAAAGGTGGTAAAAGAACAAGTTGTGCCTGAAGGTGAACTTGTGTGAGAGGCAAAACACACAAGGGGTCACTGGGGGTGCGCAACATACCTTAATAACAATTTGTCCATTTTATAATTTTTCAAAACATGAATTACAAACTATTTTAGAGTTTATTAGTCAAGCTGAATAATAGGCAGGCTTCCCCCCTCCCCCACAACGTCTCCTGTATAGCTTTATTCCGTAGATTCTGTAGATTCACACATTGGTGAGTGTGTGTGAGAGAGGAAGGGAGACTTAAAAGCAAAAGCAAAGCTGATGTCAAGAAACCTAATCCAGAAGTTTTCCAGTCATCTGAGCTAGGATTTTAGCATGCACTGCGGCCACAAGAGAGAGGGAATCATAAGTCAGGAAAATGGGATCCAGTGGAGGACACATTTTGTATGTTCGTTCTTTTCAGGCCAGCCCTGTGGCCTCAGTCTAACTATAGGAATATAACTGCAGCAAAATCTGTGTATTTGCCTTAATCCATAAGGTCTTATCCCAGGAGAAAGTGTAAATGGGACTACAGTCCTAATCATTTGCAAAGGCTGATGACCTCAGACAGAGATGAGTGTGCCTGTCTCTGAATCTGTGTCTCTCTTGGACAATGCTGGGTTACTATGTAGTGCTTATTTATTAAATTTATATCCCACTTTCCCTCCCCCCAAAGGACATTGAAGATGATATTGTAATAAGAATGCAAATGTGTAGCAAGATGTGCCTTACCAGTAAATGTGAAGCTCTCTTCCTTGTGGTGTTCTCCCTTTCTTAGTGGATTTTTCTTTTATTACCGTAGTTTTATTGGAGCCCTTGCACAAATTTCTACTTTCTGTAATTAGGATAGAAACATTTGTTTCCAGTATGTGACTTTTAGTGTTACTAAGTAGTGATGCTACTAGTTGCTTGTTAACATGACTTTCCGTTATGAATTGTCATTTTTGTTTCTGCTGAACTAGCAGGTGAAGTGGCTTAAAAACAATATTGTCTAATCTCTTTGAATATGTTTCTTAATGTCATATGCATACCTGCAAATTGGACATAGCAATATCACACAAATTTACTGCAAGAACTCTTGCTATGTTATGCAAATATGAACTGCAGGTGATATCTAAAACACCATCTTAAGGTATCAAATTTGCAGAAACATGAAAATAGACCCAATATGCTATTTAAGCACAATTAGGCTGAAACTGAAATGATTTATTTCTAAAATTAATATTCTCATCCTCTGAAGTTTTACATAGCCTGTGACTACAAATTCGTTTAGATTAACGGTTACTTGAAGCAAATATGTTTAGATCTAATTTCACTAGTATGTGAAAAAATTGCTTTATTTTAAAAAAATAACAGATGTATTGTGTTCCCAGGGTAGTTACCAAGAAGTCTGGTGCAATTAAAAAAATAACAGATGTATTGTGTTCCCAAGAAGTCTGGTGCAAGGGAGGAATTGGGAAAAAAATCCTTTTTTGTATTTAAATATTTCCAAGCATCAGCTCAATATGAGTTAATTCAGTTCATTTATGCTGCTGGTAGTAGTTGGATAGACATGTACTCTAGCCATACCTCTGTTGTTGGATATCTGAAATTCACATGCTTATTTGGATTTTAATTTGCATGCAAATGGTTGGGTGATAGGTATTGTTGAACGTTAACCATATTTATTCAGAAAATTATCTAGTATCCAGCATTATCAATTGTCCAGATGATGTTGCAGTTATGTCAGTGTGCTAATTTTATGAATGGACAGCTGACTTGTCATTCTCTTCCAGTTTTAGTGAACAGCAATTTCATGGATAGTTAAATTTACTTTTAGCCTGAAGCTACCCATTAGTTAAGATAGTGCAGTACAATCAGTGGATTCAGTTTCAAGAGACACGGGATTCATTGCAAATTTTAGATTTCATTGTGTTTTCTAAAATAAGCAACATGCTGCATTTTAGGGTTTTTTTAATAATGCCATTTCTCTGTCTTATTTTTCAGATGATAGTCTTAACCCTCCAAAAGAATGCACACTCACAGGTAGCATGGATTCTTTATCATCTCAGTCTCCCACAATGGCTGGTCCCAGCAGTCCTCCAGATGCACAAAAAAACCATCTTATAAGTGATGGTGGTGACACAGTAGATTGGGCAACAAATCCGTAAGTGACAACATTTCTCTTTGAAGGCAGGGCAGAATTCATTGCTCCCCAAACTGATAGCACAACTCATTTGGTAGGGTTCCTGATCCTCTTTAGCATTTTCAAGAGGTTGCAGAATGTGCAGTGGGAAGGAGGGGGCAGAAATGTCTACTTTTGCTAGCCTTGTCACTTTCACCTAAGTATAGATCCAACTAGTTAGCTCTAGAATGAAGTACTGTAAATTTCAGTTTTCATTTTTTTCACCCAGGCAGCTGCTTCTAAAATGGTATTGGATCAGTTTAGTGGAAGTATCATCTTGTGTGTTCTCACTTATATGGAAGGGATCCTCAATTTTCTTGGTAAACCTCTGTTTCACTCCTTCCTTCCTTGGCTACCTGTACAAGGAAATGTGGGTGTTTTGTATTCACCCCCCTGCTCTTCCCCAAGCTTCACAAAATATTGCTTCCTCGTGTAATCCGTAGGCTCTGATTGCTACTCATCTATGCTATCTTTCTTCAGTCCCTCCTGCCTACAGAATGGAAGTAATGATTTGCCTTAGGTTTGTTTTCATTTGGGAAAGTGCATCAAAATCATAGTACCATAGAAGGTCCAGGGATGTTATATAATTACCCTAAAGCTTTTACAAAGAATAGCTGCAGATGCATTGTAATGTGTCCCTCTTCCCCAAATAATATTACATCTAAAGGTTCAGTGCTTTGTGCAATCACTTGGAAAAGAGAAATGTGGAATCACAGTGGCAGTCACAGTGGAAGATTGAAGAGTGGTGCAGTTCTAGTCGTGTTTCTGTGTTGTGTAGCCCAGGGTAACATTCTATTCTGGGTTAAACCTTTTGTAGAAAGTGAATCATGCTAAGCCTTTTAAAAGGAGTGAATCTTTTACTGCCATTCAGAGAATGCAGAAGGAAACTTATATAGCTCATAGCTTGTTAAAAAGTTCCTATTATTGCTTTTGCTTGCTCTCTCTCTCTCTCTATCTCCAACTGCTCAGAGTCAGGTTTGTCTGTTTTCAGTTCTTCAAAAACTGCAGCGCCTATTCCGAAGACTCTACCGTTAGGACGAAGGTCCCTTCATAAATGACAAATTTTCTGCTCACTTTTCATTCCTATGTAGGAAATGCAATGTACACTAAGAGTGCAGCCATGTTGGAGATCCTAACCTGTGGGACTCTTCAGACTGTACACAAGGCTGATGGACATTCATGTTTGTTACCCATAATGATATACAAGTGAGGAATATGCAGTTTCCTATATAGAAGTGATACCTTTGTCATGACAAGTCCTTAAAATAAAGCACAGGCAAATAGATATTCAGTCTTCAGAGCAGTGGTAAATTGTAGCTTTTTGTAATTTTCCAGCCTCATAAAAACTAAGAAGATACCACAGTATGTAAGTCCAGAAGTAAAGTTAGAAAGAAAGCAACTGGATGAAAGAAAGCCACCATCTCTGTAGTATGGTACAAAGGACTGTACTACAAAGAGTTATGCAGAAGTGTGCAGGGATGCTCTTTAAGCAGTATGGCACTCAGTGATCAAGGGGCCAGGACTCTTTGTGGATTCCTGATGGCTAGTTCTGTAGCATATCTCATATGTGGCTTAGCTGTCACAGGAATGGCAGAGCTATTACATAATGCAGATCAACACAGAACACAACTAGAAAGAGGCATATATAATATTTATATTTCAGTCATGCCTGAATGTTTTGACAAAGAGATTAGACAGCACTAGGCACAAAGAAGTCTGAGTTACTGATTTTTGCAGCCTTGTCTTGTTTTGCAGTTTCCATAATGCTGGCCTTTTGTTCAGTTACTACACTTAGCATTTGATTCAAATGGTAATTTTAAATTTGTTGAAGCTCTGCTGGTGTTTGGTTTTCAATGGCTTCCCTCTGCAGTCTAACATAATGTTTGCTGGTGTTGTCCAGTACTGTATTTTGAAGTAGAATTTCATGTCCAGCTTGTTTCAGGGCATGTTCAGCTACAATTCATTACAGAAAAAGAAATAGAGGGCCAACTCCCTTTCTTAGATGTCATGGTCATATGCAAACCTGACCTCCTATTGAGACGCAAGGTCAACAGAAAACCCATCAACACAGACCGGTACCTACACAAAAACTCTAACCACCACCCATAACAAAAAAGAGGCATAATCAAAACACTGGTACACCGTGCAATTCGGAACTGTGAAGCTCAATTTCTCAGCACCAAACTCAACCATCTGAATTGGGCCCTACAGACAAATGGCCATTCCAAGAATGAAATCGCAAGAGCCGTCAAAACAAGAAAACAACACCAAACTGAAGAGGGAAAACAGCCACCTACAAATAAAGTATTTCTGCATACATCAAAGGGTCACGGACTGCATGGGAAACATTTGAAAAAACACAACCTACAAACAGTATTCAAGCCCACCACAAAAATACAACAAATGCTACGGTCAGCAAAGGACAAAAGGGACCCCCTCACCACTGCAGGAGTATACCGGATACCTTGCAGTTGTGGCTAGGTATATATTGGAACCATAAAATGCAGCATCCACACCAGAATCAAATAACATGAGAGACACTGCAGACTAAAACAACCGGAAAAATTGGCAGTAGCTGAACATGCCCTAAAACATGCTGGACATGAAATTCTATTTCAGAACACAGAAGTACTGAACAATACCAGCAATCATTATGTTAGACTGCACAGGGAAGCCACTGAAATCCACAAACACCAGCACAGCTTCAACAAAAAAGAAGAAAGTCTAAAACTCAACAAAGCCTGGCTCCCAGCACTGAAAAACACAGTGTGCAAAAGGTCAATGAACTCTACCCAGCCATGTGGCCAGTGATCACTGCACACAAAAGACCAGCTAACAACACCCATCAATCACAGCGACAGATCATCTCTCCCCCTTATCACAACAATACATCAACAACAAAAAAGCACCCTGATCACCATGAACACACAATCTCCTGAAAAGGACAAAAAAAGCTGATCCCACAGCTATAAATACTCAATTGTCCCACAAACTGCACCAGAGCACAGACAGAGTTCTGACTCCAATCCTCTGAAGATGCTGGCCACAGAGGCTGGTGAAACATTAGGAAGAAAAACCTCAAGAACACGGCCAGACAGCCCGAAAAACCTATAACAACCATTGGATCCTGGCCATGAAAGCCTTTGAGAATACAACTCAGATAAATATTGGATAATTTTTTTAAAAAGGAGTTTATTTCAAAATATTAAAAAAGATCTCTAGCTTATTTTCTCCCAGGTTTCCAACCTCCCCACCCATTCTCCCCAAACTGAACTATACCAAGCAATACTGTTCTTTGTCAAAGAGAGATGGGGACACCTCTCTTCTATAGGTAATATTATTTGCTTCATTTCAGCCACTTTTCATTGTTTCGTGTTTTTCAGATTTTTTTTTGTATAAGTTTCCACCTTTCTATTTCAGTACCTTTAATATTCTAATGTTTTACAATCTCAATAATCAATTGGGTTTATCTTTTTAGGTATAAGTTTACCATTACATAATGGTGAGATGTAGTATATATAGTGAGTGAGTGATCTCTGAAATTCAGTATTCATTTATATTGCTGAAGCCCAGTCTTCTCTTTTAATGTGAAAGTATGAGTGGATTTGAGAGATGTGATGAATTACAAATAATAGTCTGAGTGGATGTATGACAGACAGCTTTCTTTTTAGTTGCATCCATAGAGAGTTTTCAACATTCTTTTCAGAAATAGGACTTTCCTTTGCCGCATTGTAGGCCATGAACTCTTCATATATATCCAGAAGCTGTATCTGACAAGAATACTGCAGTAGGTTTCTGAACAACCACACTGAATTTCTCATGAAGCAAAAGAGAAAGTAGTGTGGAGCAGGTTTATTATGCTATTAAAGTACAGTGGTGCCTCGCATAGCGAGGTTAATCCGTTCCGGATTAACCTTTGCTATGCTGAAGCATCGCTGAACAGGGCAGGGATTTCCATTGGAACACATTAAACATGGTTTAATGCGTTCCAAATGGGCCAAATACTCACCGTTCAGCGATGCTTCAGGATGGCCGGCAGCCATTTTCGCGCCCTCGCCTCGCTTAACGAGGGCGCGAAAACGCTGCGCGCGGCCATTTTGGGCCATTTCCAGGCTTCCGGCGGCCATTTTGGCCGCCGAACAGCTGATCGTCGGGGGTCATTTTGCGAAGATCGGTAAGCGAAACGCTTACCGGGCTTCGCAAAGCGAATTTTCCCCTATTGGAAAAACGTTGAGCGATCGCATTAGCGATCCGAAAAAACGGATCGCTATGCGATTTCATCGTTATACGGTGCGCTCATTAAGCGAGGCACCACTGTATCTATCTTTAGATAGTACATTCAGTTTGTAGCATGTCTGTTAGATGGCAATTGAAAAACTTGTGCTTTTTCATTTGACAAACTGAATGGCATGGAAATGTATTTACAGTACCGTATATTTTTGTAGCCTAATATATACAGCTTGTGCATTGCTAGTTCAAATTAAGTGTCATGACTACCTCCTTCTAGGGTCTGGGACTAAACTGGCTTATTTTTTTTTCTGATGGGAAGAAACTACTTTGGGGAAGATTAGTGTGGGGGATCATGACAATTAGACTCCAATATTTTTATTGACCACTGGTCTCAAAACCTAAAATGCTCACATACAGAAAAGCAGGGCTGGGTGATCTGCAGAGTGTCCAGTTGTTCATGGACCTCCCATTTGGTGAAATTATTTCTTTTTACTTCTGCTTAAAGCCTACAAACTGGGGCTGGGCATTGCATCACTCTAATGTTTACATTCAACTCAATTTCTCCTATAGAATCATGTTATGGTGTTTCAGAAAGAGAAAGGAATTGTGTGCTCCCCCCTCTTTTAAAGTGAAAGTACTTCAACTGGCTACTTAATCAGTACCTCTCAGGATATTAGCTAATGTACATAGCAGTATAATAATCTGTAACTTCTTCTTAAACAAGCAATTAGCAATTGTTTGATGTTCTCAAACTTTTATTACACTGGCAACTAACCTTGTTCTGTATGAACGTCAGCATTCAACTGAGACTATTTTGCTCTAAGAGCATCATATTGTCCATGCTCAGTAATAAAACTGGCTCAGTAAAGAATAAAATCATATTTGCCTGTTTGATACAAACCATAATTTTTCCTTTATTAGGATAGTTGCTATGAGTACAGCCTTTTCATGGAAGGCTGGTGGCATGTTTTAAAGGGCATATCATAGGTACAAAAGATGCATTATTGCAGACAGCAAATAATTTTATTGAGCACTGATGTCAGAACTTAAACTGACTGCTTACAAAGGCACATACTGAAATATAGGGTTGGACAACCTTCAGGATGTCCAGTTGTTGCTGAACTACACCTCCCATTTGGTGATCACTCACTATTGGCTAAGCTGGCTAGGTCCGATGGGGATAGCAGACCAATCTTATCAGGAAGGTCACACATTGCGAAACATATAAAGCTGAAAGAACAAATGATCAATTCTGCTCAAAATGCCTTTCAGATCCAGCGAGATCCAGTCATCTGTGGTTTCTTGGATGAATGTGCAGTCAAGTGTAGCATCTACCTCAGTTGCACCACCAGCAGCATCTTTCTCCTTTTCATCCCCTAGCATAGAGACTGACAGGCCTTCTGGAAGGTAATATTGTGCTATATGACTGTTTTCATTTCAGTTTGGCTCCCTTGCTGTAAAAAGAAAATAAAACGTTGTTTTCCTTGTCAACTGTACTATACAGGAGTTAGACAACTGAACTTAAACATTATTTAATTTAATTTATATACTGCCCATTAGTGCAACACATTATTCTGGGTGGTTTACAGATTAAAGAGGCGAACAAGACAAACACACAATAACAAAAAACAATTTAAAAAACAAGTTATACTGTGAAGTATAATGGGCTACCAAGGTAAAATATTCATTTTTCTGCTAATGAAACAAGTGGGAGATTTGAGTTTAGACAGTAGGTGGTCATGAATTGAATGAACTGGATGGAGGTATTTGACCTTGTTGGTTCTGCTGGGCCTCTTGGTGATTCTCAATATAATCAGCAGTGCTCCCTGGGCTTTCTGTCTCGGATAGGACTTGGAGGCACTATTCTGTAGTAGCTCCAGCCCTTCCTGAAGGCGAGAACTCAGAGGCTGGTGCTGGGGGACTCCTGTTTGAAAACTTGCTTGTTTGCCTGTGGCATCCCTTTGGGTTCTGTTTCATTCCCTCCTGCCGTTTAGCCGTTCTGTGTGGTTTCTATATATATAAAACCTCTGTAATAGGTTCTCAAGTTTTTGAGTTTGGTGTCATCAGTATACAAATGAAACCCAACTCTCTCTCTTCTTTCTAACTAATCTCAAGGAAGCTGTGTTGGTTACAAATTGATGTCTAGTGCCAGTAATGGACTGGATGAGTGTTGTGACAGTTCATGGTGATGGTCCCCGAGACAGCCACTCTACCATATTACCTTTGTTCCTCCTGGAGTGGGTGAGCCCAGGCGACAGTCAGTGGTGGTGATAACTATGGAGCCCAACAGAGATCATATTATTCCCAACACTCCAATTTACTCAGATCTGGCAGTGTCTGCAGGGAGTTCAAAACAAAAATCTACAAGGCTAGGTAAGCAGGATGCTTCCCTTGCAAGGGTGGAGCTGCCCCCACCCCACCTCCCACAAACACCAAAAATCCTGGTAGCTTGGTCAAGGTAAGATGTGTCATGCCCTGTTTTCCCGAAAATAAAACCTAACCTGAAAATAAGCCCCAGTATGATTTTTCAGGATGCTCGTAATATAATCCCTACCCCAAAAATAAGCCCCTGTTAAACAAAACCCTGCCCTGCACCATTGTGCAACAACTAGAAGAAGATGACTTGACTGTATTTGAATAAATGTAGATTGTTGTACATGAAAAAAATAAAACATCCTCTGAAAATAAGCCCTAATGCATTTTTGGAGTAAAAATTAATATAAGACCCTGTCTTATTTTCAGGGAAACACAGTAATACCACAAACCCTCTACACCAGAATCCAGACAGCTACTTGAAAGGGTTTTTGTATTTTATTAAAAGAAAAAATTATTTAAAGGACATTCCAAAAAGTTACAAAAATATTCCCCAAAATACTTGTAGCAAAATAAGAACACAAGAAGAGCCCTGCTGGATCTAGTCCAGCTTCCAGTATCTCACAGTGGCCCCACCAGCAGCCTGTGGGAGCGCACGAGACAGCTAGATACCAGTCTCCTGATCCCCCTCCCCTGCATCTGGCATTTGGAGGCACCTTCCTTTTAAGCCTGGAGATTATATGTCCCCATCATGGCTTGTAACCTGCGATGGACTTTTCCTCCAGAAATCTGTCCAATCCCCTTTTAAAAGCATCCAGGCCAGATGTCATCAGCACATGCTGTAACAAGGAGTTCCACAGACTAATAACATGCTGCGTAAAGTAAGATTTTATTTTGTCTGTTCTCACTCTCCCTACACTCAATTTGAGTGGATGCCTCCTGGTTCTAGTATTGTGTGAGAGCGAAAAGAGCTTCCCTCTATCCACTTTATCCATCCCCTGAATAATGTAACACGTCTCAATCATGTCCCCACTCAGGTCCCTTTTCTCGGGACTAAAGAGACCCAAATGCTGTAGTCTTTCCTCATAAGGGAAGTGCCTCAGCCTAGTCATCATTTTAGTCACTCTCTTCTGCACCTTTTCCAGTTACACAATGCCTTTTTGGAGGTACAGCGACAACTGTACACAGTACTCCAGGTGCAGCCTTGCCAGGGTTTTGTACAATGGCATTATAATGTTGACTGTTTTATTTTCAGTCCCCTTTTTAATGGTACCTAGCATGGAATTGGCCTTCACGGCTACCACACACTGGGTTGACATTTTCATTGAGCTGTCCACCAGCACACCAAAATCTCTTTACTGATCCATCATGGACAGTTCAGAACCCATTAGCTGGTAACTAAAGTTTTGACTTTTTGCCCCATGTGCATTTTCTTATATTGAAATTCATTTGCCATTTTGACGCCCATTCTCCCAGTTTGGAGAGATCCTTCTGGAGCTCTTCACAATCCCTACTGGTCTTCACCACCCAGAAGACTGTTGTGTCATCTGCAAACCTGGTCACCTCACTGCTGTCTCCAGGTTATTTATGAACAGGTTGAAAAGCACTGGTCCCAGGACAGATCCCTGGGGCACACCGCTTTTCACCTCTCTCCATTGTGAAAATTGCTCATTGACACCTACTCTCTGTTTCCTGGTTCTCAACCAATTTTCAGTCCATAAGAGGACCTGTCCTCTTGTTCCCTGACTGTGGAGTTTTCTCAGCAGCTTTTGGTGAGGGATCGTGTCAAATGCCTTCTGAATATGGTCTTAAGCACATTCAGGAGAAACACACCAGAAAGCAGCAAAAGCTAAAATAGAGAACTTTAGCAAAGCTGTTCTATAGTTCTGGAACTTGTACAGAGTGTATCCTTCCTGGCTCAACATTATAGGATAACAAATGGACACAGTCTCTTCCTCCTGAGTAAGACTGAGCCCTTTCGCTGCATCAACGAATAGTGGGTGAACAAAGCACATTTTCCTGGGAGATAGGTTAGGCTGTCGTAATTAGTTTTCCTAATCTCTCATATACAATAAATGTGCTATTCCACATCTGTCATGATGAACATCTCAATCCTCTTTCATCTTCCCCCAATGCAAAAGTATCTTCCTCTCCTCTCTTTCCCACAGCCCCAATTTGTGTGACTCTGGGGAGGGAAATGGGCCAGCTTTTCAAGTCAGAGTTATAGCAGAAGTGATAGATTTTTCCTGGTGCTGCTTCAGTGCACCCTTTGAAGTCTTCTTTAACAGGTCAGTTGAATGTGTGAATTGTCCTTTTGTCCTGGGCACATACTGACCTTTGCCTTCCCAGCCAGCTTTCCAAGCACTCACAAAAAAGCACTGAAGCTTCCAATAGATGAATTCTGTGTCCTTTGCTCCCCAGTTCCTTGGTTTCTTCGGAAGCATGAATACATTGAAACTTAATCCAGACAGACATATGTGTTCCTGGTGATGCAGGTGAAAGATAGATAGTTAAATAGTTTCAGCCTGTGCTGGATAGGATTATACTCCCCTTGAAAACACAGGTTTGCACCTTAGATGTGCTGCTGGATTCATCCCTGAGCCTGGATAGCCATGTCTTGGCAGTGGCCAGAAGTGCATTTGCACAATTAAAACTAGAGGATCAGCTGCAGTGTTCCTGGAAAAGTCTGATATGAGCATAGTAACACATGCCTTAGTTACTATAATGTGCTCTACATGGAGTTGCCTTTGGAATGTATTCAGGGACTTCAGCAGATCCAAAATGCTGCTGCTAGATGGTTGGCTGCAGCTGGTTACAGAGATCACGTGACTCCTTTTTTATAACAGCACTGCCGGCTCTGTTTCATTTCTGGGCACAATTCAATGTGCTGGTTTAGACCCCTCAGTTACTTGGGTCCAAGCTATCACAAAGACATCAGCTTCCTTTATGAACCTACCTGATTTTTAAAATAATCAGAGCAGGCCTTTCTTTCAGTCCTGCTGTCCTCACAAGTGCTTTTGGTGAGGAGAGGAGAGAGAGAATTCTCTGTTACTGCTCCCAGGTTGCAGAAGCGTCCCAAGCTCTTTGCTTTCCTTCTGTAGGCAGGCAAAGACCATTCCCTTCAGGCATTCTTTTTCTCAGTAATTGGCTGCCTAAGGGGGAAGGGTTTCCTAAAAATGGGGCTACTGTTTTTTATAGCCCCCCCCCCAATTGCTTGTTTTAATGTTGTAAGCTGCCTTGAGAATGTACACATGAATGAATGAAGGATGTACACATGAATCAATCAGTCAATCAGTGAGGGAAGTCTAAAAGGTGTAGGCTATTCTTCCACGTAATTCCACACTGCAGTGACACCGCATCTCTCTGGGTGGAACAGCAGCTTTTCTGTAGTGGCTATGGGTATTTTTTATTGGGTCCCTTTTCCTCATTACTTACTTTGGGGTACAACATCTGGTTGCAATTATATGAAGTAATGAATACAATAGATCTCTGTTTCTTCATGTTTAACAATTGAATTACTGTACTCTAGTTTTTTAATGCTTAACATTTGTTTAAGTGCAGATTTGAATATAACTTTACAAATGTAAGGCACTAATGCCAGTTTTTCTTTTCTTTTTTTTAAAGTAGCTTCCTGGGTGGCTTTTTTACAGTAGCTACCATTAGCAGCATATATTTCTTTGAGAATGGGTGTGTTCATATTTAAAGATAGAATAGGCTCCTGCACATTGTATAGTCCCTTCTGCGTTAAGTTCAAAGTATTATCTTGCATGTCCTGCTTTTATCAAGGTATTGAGGTGATGTGATTTGATTTATCACACAAAGGAGGTTTTGCTATCTTTACAGGTGAAAATATTCATATAGATGAAAGTGCCCCCATGTGAATGATATTGCCTTCATTTCTGGTATAAAACTGAACAACTGTAAACTGTTCGTGCAGTTTCTTTAAAAAAAAATACTGACAAAAATCTTTTGACTATTTTTTTTCAGTGTTGTTAGCAGAAAAGCAAGAGCAGTGTATCCATGTGAGGCAGAGCATAGCTCTGAATTATCTTCTAAGACCGGGGCAGTTTTTGAAGATGGTGAGTAAGAAAGTTTTTGTAATTTCAAAATAAGCAAGTTATCTTCGAAAGAAATAATACATATGAGAACGTTCATGCTCACTTTCTTTGTTTTTCTCTTGTGTGAACACAAAAGTTGAATCTCAGTCAAATATGGCAGTGTATTCCATGTGTGCATATGTATGTTACCTGATTCTGTAGCTGAAGCGACTGAAGAGCCAAGAGTTATTGTCAAAGACAGGCAGGCATTCTTCTTGCAATCTCTCTGTGACTGACACCAATGAGGGCTTATGTACCTGCACAGAGTCTCCTATGGAACATTCTAGAGCTGAACAATTTAGGCGAGAAACCCTGCCCCACCCTCCTACCATTGCATGATAAAACATGCCTGACTTTGAGCCCTCAGTCCTTTTTTCACCTGCCGTCATAATGATACTGTATGGAGCACTTTATTATGCTGAGCCCAATTGCTTCCTTGTTGGCAAAGAACTGGTGATGCTTTCATACTCAAAACCCCCAACTGTCTTTTCTACTGCCTGCCTGGCGGCTGCCATGCTATAAGCTTATTAGATTTCAAGTACATCAGGTTGTTGCAGCTTCCACTTGGGCTTAATACCATTCCTTCTTCTTCCAGTATCGGCCTCTTGACTTGCTTTGATAATGGAATTCCTCCCTCAGTTCTGTGGACTTCACTCTCCTGTCCACGGGACCATGCAACTCTCCCATAAATATCTGTACCTTTATCATCAGATATGCAGAAACCTTCAGTTCATATAAAAAGGTGAATGGATTGTTGCAAAAACAGTTTAGCAAGAAGTGAATGGGGACTTTGGTTTGTGGCCTGTAGAGAAAAGCTAGAACTAAGTAAAGTTTATGTCCACATTAATCCACTGTTGAGAGCAATGTAGTAAGATCAGGAATTTAAAAGACAGTCATGGACACAATATACAGAGGTGCATAATATATTAAGAAAAAGTACAGTGGCCAGAAGGTTAAATCCAGGGCTTGAGGTGAAAAGGCTGGGCCTTGTGGTGCCCCTAAATGAAGTGGGACTTTTGATAAGAAGCAGAAGTCTTTAGAGTGAGGCAGCTGAAGCAGCCACAACACAGTATAGAGTGAAGAAGAAATACATTTTTGGTGTATACTGTAATTTCAGTTTCAGTGGCAAGAGACCTGGACCTTGGGAGTGTAAAGATAGAAGCGACACAGTTGCGAATGTAGCCATTTAATTCTGCACTTCAGCCTCTGTCTGAAAGCTGCCCCCTGCAATGTTGCAGCTTGCTTTACAAGAGAACTCTGTTCTAAAAGAGGACAGAGTCCTCCCTGCTAAGCTATGACCCAGAAAGCCTTTCTTCAAAGTTATTGAGGCTAACAATTCCTAAGCCAAAGTTTTATCTCCTCCTTTTGTCAGTTAACTTATGGACACTAACAGAAATTGTAATATACCTGTGAACAGACTGCACTTTAATTTGTTGCCACATGTCAGTGGTAAACATGTTTTGTGGATTTTCTTAGCCAGGTTGCAACTACTTTGGTGTATACTGTGCATACAGTCAAGTCAATTCTGACTTACGTTGACCCTTTCCAGGATTTTCTAGGTAGAGACTATTCAGAAGTGGTTTACTGTTCCCTTCTTCTGGGAGTGTTCTGGGGCTGTGTTGCTTGCTCATGGCCACACAGGTTGGCTTTTCCCCTAGGAGGCGCAGTGTGGAATTGAACTGCCCACCTCTGCTTCCACAGCCAGATTCCTAAACCACTGAGCTATCCAGCCAGCTCTGGAGGCTATAGGGCTTCTATCAAAACCAGCAGGCATACTTTGTCTCCTTTTCCTTCCTGACTCTCCATCTAACTTTTAGGGAGATGATATAATCCTGTAAATTTCCTCATTCTCTAAGCTTCCCTAAGAAATAGCTTTGTTTGGGGAAAACGATGCTGAAATGGCACTATGTCCATATGAGTGTGAAATGAAAATGAGTGCTTTATTTGCTACACTTCTTGTTGCATTGTGACAGCATAATACTACATTTTGCAAAAATATTGACTGCAGCTAAAGGCAGTATACTATCATGCCCATTTTTAAGCAGGTCCTTTTGACTCACCTTCTTCCCATACCTCCTAGGGGTCTCATCTCTCAATGACATTGTCCTCAGGGCCAGCTCTGGAATCAATCAGAGTAGAGCCGCAGTAAGAAGAAAGGGTGAGCAAACTGTAGACCTCAGTTCCTCTCTCCCTTTCTTTTGAGTGAAAGCACTGACTTTTCACTTGAGATTTATGAGGGAACCAATAAAAATGCTGGTTCAGCAGATTTAAAGAAGCATGCAAACTATTAAGTCTTCATTTAAATATGGCGCAGGTCTCTTGTAATGCTCCCTACTGACATTACAGGCATTTCCGAAAACTACCAATTAGGGGACGTTTCTCACAAACCTAATCTTCTCATCATCTCAGGTTTTGGCAAAGTGTTCTGCTCATTTTAAAATAGGCTGAGGCAGATTTTAAAAAACCCATAAAAGCTATATTTCCGTACATGCAGAGAAAAGGGAGAACTATAGTAGAAAAAAGCATATTTTGAACCAGAAATATGCTTTAAGACTGTTGTTTGAATGTGCAAAGGTAACAGACACCTTCTGGTTTTATGATTTTTGTGTCTGACACATAACAGAGTTTGGGTCTTTCCATATATAATTTCCTTTCCTGTTCTCCCCTTTCTTCTGCTGCTCCTGGCTTGTGTATTTACCGTTAAGGATTCATGCTTCGTGCAGATGCTTCTTGTCAAAAGCTACCTTACAGGCAGATTGTGTCAAAGTCAAAAGGCTGATAAAAGAGAAATTAGATAAATGTTAAGTTTCTTCAAAGACTTCTCTTAAAAGCCTATTTGATTTAGTACAAGGGTGGAGTTGCTTAGCATGTCTGTGAAGATCCCTTCTAGTCAAATCTGTGAATAGGTTAGTCATTGAACCACATGGTGCATGACACAGGAATTTAACAGAACATTTTCAGGCATGTTGTGCCTTGCATCCATTCCTCAAAAGAAAAAGGCAAGATGTAGTAAGCTCCTTCCTCTTACATCCTACTTAAATGATATCTAAGCAGCAGAGACTCTAGTCCTTTGTTTTTCCCCCATTACTAAATATTCCTTATTACATCAAAACTGCAGAAACTGTGGATCTATACCTCACACCAGCAGTGCCATCTGGAACTGGTGGCTATAGTGGATATGGTTCCAAACCAGAAAGGCTCCATAAACCACACAGACAAAGTTTTTACACATTAAGAATGTAAAGAATCCTCACAGATTCTGTTATCTTCAGTACAAAGTGGCATCTTGAGACATTGGAAAAATAGACAACTGCTGCAAATTTTTTGCTTTCCAACAACTGTAAAAAAATTAAAAAACAGCCAGTACATTTTTGCCAGTGACAGCATGTGGAAAAAATGTTTCTTTTTGTGTTCAGAATCTTGTCACAGTGATTGCCCCCCCCCAAAAAAAACACCTCCAACTTGCACAACCTTTTGGGCAGCAGATAGGTGTCAAAATGTGAGAAATGCACAAACTCTTTTAGTTCTACATAGTATGGAGAAAAAAAATGAATTTTTCAATCTCAGCAGCAAGAATAAAATAAAATCTTACAACAGTATTACACACAACTTTAGCTATGTGGGGACATCTATGTAATGTATTTCTCCCATTACTGGAGCTACACCTGAATGAAAAAGGAGGAAGGAGATAGTTTGTTTTTCTCCCCCTCTGTTTTTCTTCCCCTCTTGTGATAATTCTTATTGAGTTATTACATTGCTGCTGCTGCATATTGAGACCTGTTTTTGAGGAACTTCCTAAGATTTTTTCCATGGCAGAGTACATATTTGAACACAGACAGTTGTATGTTCACTAGAGAAGCTTGCCATCACAGGTGGCCAATCCAGAACTGGGACGTCCACTTACCACCTTTGACGTGGCCATCATCCTTCACACCACACCGCTTGTGGAAATAGCCTGTCTGGGGCTCCCCCACCTCCCTGCACTGCTGGCCATTCCGGCAAGAGGGTGAGATTACTCAGCTGCTGATTGCTCAGCAGTGCAGGGAGGCGGGAAGTCTCAGGTAGGCTATCTGGGATTGGTGTGGTGTGAAGGATGTTGGCCGTGCTGCAAGCAGTAAATGGACATCCGGTTCGGGGGAGGAGAGTCCAATTGCACTGGCCATCTATGATGGCGAGCTTCAAATTTGTCCTCCCCAGGAGACAAATACGAAGCTCCCATCTCTAATGTTCATTCCTACTGTCTTGAAATGAAAAAGGTAATATGGTGAGTAAGGTGTGAGGTAAAAAACAAGGATCTTGGAGAGCAGTTGGTGCTTCCAGGTTGGAGTAAGTGTTAGTCCCAGTATAGATCCCTTTCTAGCTTCCCTTGCTATGAAACTTCATTTCATTTCCCTTCATTTCTGAACTGTTTCATACACTTGTACTCAGTACAGGTGTATGATTTCTTATCAAATTTTGGACAACTATTGCCAAACACTTTTTAATAATTCAGGTATTCAGTGGCCACAGCGTTCTCCTCTCTACTTCTCTCTTGTGTACCCTACAACAGATAATAACGCAGATCTTTCCTTTGCAGATTCGGCACTGATTATTTTTCAGCAATACTTGTAATACATTTTAGTACTAGATTACTGAATGTATATTAAGAATGGGACTTTCTTGTTTTAACAAAAGGGAAAAAAAAGAAACTCACTCTTTTCATCTTTGTGTTCTTTTGTTGATTCCTGAAAGAACTCACTTTTTCTTTGTGAGTGAGCTACTGGTCTCCTTCATCTTGTGCTGCCTGCCTCTATGCCTCAGTCTTCTTGGAGAGTTTCATTCTCTCCTTGAATCTTGGTGGGGATTTTCCCCATTTCTTTGGATTATTTCTCCTGATTCCACCAGGCAGCCTGCCCATGCCAGGGTACCTTGTTGGGAGTATTGGGGGTGGGGGTGGTGGTTTTATGGGGATTTCCTCTCTCTTTGGTCCTTTCCTCTCTTGG